TAGAGGGCAGTGATCCAATCTCGGCTCACTGCAACCTCTGCCTCCTGGATTCAAGCAATTATTCTGCCTCAGCCTCCCGAGTAGCTGGGACTACAGGCACGCACCACCACACCCAGCTAATTTTTGTATTTTTAGTAGAGACGAGCTTTCACTATGTTGACCAGGATGGTCTCAATCTCTTGATCTGCCCACCTCAGCCTCCCAAAGTGCTGTGATTACAGGCGTGAGCCACCACGCCCGGCCATTTTGTTGTTTTTTTAATCTATAACAATTATATATATAAATATATTTTTTTAATGTGCCACTTATTAATTGAAGAAACTGGTCATTTATGCTATAGCAGTCCTATATTCTGGTTTTAATCATTACAGGGTAACACTGAACTTGTTCCAATTGCCTATAAATAGGAAGATCCAGGTGCAATTGGGTGGGATGATAGACAAAAATACATCATAGATAGTACTGTGTGCTTTCTAAGACATCAGGAGGCCCAGAATGTCCAGACGTCTTACTTTTGACTGATTGACCTTATCTAGTTGGTGCTCTTTAACATGTTCCCCTATCCCCTGTAAATCCTAATAACTAAACTGATAGAGTCATCCTCAAAATTGAGCAGGCATCTGAATCATCTGGTATACTTACTAAAATTCCAGTTGCTGGTCCCCAGTTTCTGACGCAAGATTCTGCATTTTTAACAATTTGTTGCTGATACTTCTGGTCTGGGGCCCATACCTTGAGAACCCCTGGTCTAGAGGCCTGATAAGATGCAGGCTTAATTTTTTTTTTTACAGATGTACTTCATAAGTAGTATTGATAGTTTCTTCGAATCTGGTTTTTTATAGTCTTTCTAATGATGAAGGAGGAATGTTCTCAATACTGACAGTAATCTCAGTTCTTAGATTTCTACAGCCACAATAGTATTTTTGTCACAAGAGCCCAAATGAGAATACATCATGTATATTTTTAGTAAATAGTTATTCCAATTACAAATTTGCAAATTACAAATTCACTGTCTTTAATTTATTCTAACAAAAGTAAACCTAATTTTATAGTTATAAAAAAGAAGAAATCTACTTCTAGTCACATAAGAGTAAAACTGCCCCTATAAAAACAAGACAGAGAAATCTCAAAAGCAACCAGAGAAAGAAGACACATTGCCTCACAATAGACTTCTCAACACCATTGGGGTGATACTATCTCATGTACTAAAAGAAATAACTGCCAACCTTTTATATTTTCCAAGATCTCTTCTGGAAAACAAAACCTTTTAAGAATTCGCCTCCATCGAAAATTCTTTTTTGTTTTTTTTTTTTTGAGACGGAGTCTCGCTCTGTCACCCAGGCTGGAGTGCAGTGGCCAGATCTCAGCTCACTGCAAGCTCCGCCTCCCGGGTTCACGCCATTCTCCGGCCTCAGCCTCCCGAGTAGCTGGGACTACAGGCGCCCACCAACTCGCCCGGCTAGTTTTTTGTATTTCTTAATAGAGACGGGGTTTCACCGTGTTAGCCAGGATGGTCTCGATCTCCTGACCTCGTGATCCGCCCGTCTCAGCCTCCCAAAGTGCTGGGATTACAGGCTTGAGCCACCGCGCCCGGCCCATCGAAAATTCTTAATGATGTACTCCAAGCAAAAAGAAAATTTCCTAGGTAAAAAGTCTAAGATGCAAGAAAGAAAGACATGCAAAGGAAACGTAACCACCGTATTACAGGTGTGGACTGTCAGCCTGACTGGTCACACTAGGGGCATTTTGTTACCAAAGCCTTGAAAGTACTAAAGGTCTGAGAGCCACTCTTCCTGGCACTGAAGGAAACAGGGCCCATCAGAGCAAACAAGTACCTCTTGCCTCCTTCATCTCCTTGGAAGCAAATGTTTGTAATCTCTGGTTTTGTCTAAAGTTTATAACAGTATTTTTCATTCAGGTTGCTACCTATTAGTGAATGGTGAAATTAATTTGGTGGATCACATTCAGAATATTTTTTTTTTAATCAGAAGAATACAAGCTGGGCTCAGTGACTCATACCTGTAATCCCAACAGTTTGGGAATACCAGGCAGGAGGATTGCTTGAGGACAGGAGTTCAAAATCGGCCTGGGCAACATGGCAAGAACCTATGGCTACAAAAATTTTAGAAAATATCAGATGTGGTGGCATGTGCCTGTAGTCCTAGCTACTCAGGAGGCTAAGACAGCAGGATTGTTTATTATAAGGAATTTGAGGCTACAGTCAAACTTCTGGTTGAAATCCTGGTCATGCCACTGCATTTCAGCCTGGGCGACAGAGTAAAATCCCATTTTTTAAAAAAAATTAAAATAGTATGTCAGACATTAGAATATGTTAGTAAGGGTAAGCAGTTATTTCTTGAAACTCTACATATGTGCATGAGTATTGGTAAATACCTGACTGTATCATCAGCTCTAGATATAAAATGTTTATGATGTTGGCTGTAAGTTTATGGGGAATAGTTTTCCTTTCTGTGGGTTTGGGTGTATTTGGGAAACGTTAGCTTAGGGGGTAAAGTAGATTACCCAACTCTGAAAAGCAGCATCAAACTCCTTATAAAGAAACAAATAAACACAAACTCTTTATAAATAAACACATTAAATTTCAAGCAGATGGCATGAGCTGCTCAGAGTAGCCTGTTACAATTCTGTGTTACAAGGTAAAATGACTTAGAGTGTAGCAGTAGTCCCCGAACAATTAATGTCAAATAGATACTGCTAAGTGTAGATTGCTCCTCTCCTTGTATCACAAATGTTCATTCACCCTGCCCCCACACACATTAAAATTCAGCATCGTTCACAAATTGTTTCATTTCTATTTGAGATAGACTTTGGTAAGTCAGCTTTGCTCCCCAAGTAAGTTAGCCATATAGTAATTCTGTATGCAAAATTTGAATCTCAATTTTACTACTCAAGCAGAAAGTAAGTCATTTTTCTGTATCTTCTTTGCTCCCAGACTGGGTTACAATTTACGGATCTGAATATTGTCACTTGTACACCATACATACACAGAGGTCTAAAACTCTATACAAGTAAATAAAGAGGAAAAAAAGCCCAACAACCCAATAGGAAAATAGACCAAGCCTGTTATAGGCTTTTTTTTTTTTTTTGAGACGGAATCTTGCTCAGTCGCCCAGGCTGGAGTGCAGTGGCGCAATCTCGGCTCACTGCAAGCTCCGCCTCCCGAGTTCACGCCATTCTCCTGCCTCAGCCTCCCGAATAGCTGGGACTACAGGCGCCCACCGCCACGCCCAGCTAATTTTCTGCATTTTTAGTAGAGACGGGGTTTCACCGTGTTAGCCAGGATGGTCTCGATCTCCTGACCTCATGATCCGCCCACCTCGGCCTCCCAAAGTGCTGGGATTACAGGCGTGAGCCACCACGCCCAACCTGTTATATGCTTTTTGATCATCTCCAGACTGGCAGGAGGAGAATGCATACTCGCTATAAGTACCTGACTTGATTTGCAGAGGATATAGAACCTTATCAGAAAATGACCTTCCAAGGCAAAAGCAAATGCACCCTATCTCGGCACAGCTTTTCTCCAGTTCTTATTTACCTAAGGAGATGAATAGCTGCCAGGAACATTGTCTGCACAAGGGCAGGGGCCTGCCAGATCTGAGAACACAGCAAAATTTTTATTTTGTCAAAAATCTTATACTCGGCTTATACCATTCATTTCAGGTGAACATACAGCAGTCTGCATTTCAGTTTAGGGAAATGTTCACAGTCATCTGGTTCTCTTTATTCTTGGAAACAAGGTTACCTCACTTGGAACACATAACCAGTGCCAAGTTGTCCATCCCTAAGCATTATTTCTTCCTCTTACTTTCTAGAAGTTCTAAAGATTGTGGAAGCCAGACTTCTCAGAATTCTTTGCCCTCATTCACTCCTCCAGAAATTCATGCCTTTGTATAATCTCTTCCCCTTGAGAGCCAGTAGGTTAACCTAATGAGTTATTTTTAACCAGTAGAATACAGCAAAAGTGATAAATTACAAGAGATTGTGGCTTCTATCTTGCTAGCAGACTCTCTCTGCCTTCATTGCTTGAACACTTTGATGAAACAAGCTACCATCCCAGACAGGCCCATAGGCAAGGAACAGGCCATCAGCTTAGCAGCCTTGAGGAACTAAATTCTTCCAACTAGCACATAAGTTTGGAAGTAGATTCTTCTCCAGTCCAGCCTTCAGATGAGACCCCAGCCATGCCAACATCTTGATTGCACCCTTGTGAGAGACCTTGAAAACAGAACCATTTCTGATCTCCTGACCCACAGAAACTGTGAAATGTGTTAAGGTACTAAGTTTGTAGTAATTTGTTATGCAGCCGATTGTAAATAATATGCAGATAAAATCAGACAGAACAGAAAAATAAATGAAAATGGCTTTAACTCTAGAAAGAGTTTCCCCATGTAAAATTTTGAAAATGCTTCTCTGCCTGAGATCAAACTGTGGTACATGTATATGTATGAAAACACAGGTGTCTGGAAGGGTAATACCAAATTAAATATCTTTATCCAAGAGGAATGAAAACCAGTATTCACACAGAAACGTATGCACAAACCTTGTGAATACATTAAAAACCAGTGAACTGTGCACTTTGAAAAGGTGAATTATGTGCTATATGAATTATATCTCCAAAACATTTCATGAAAAACCTGTACACAATTATTCATAGAAACTTTCTTTAAAATTGCTAAAAACTAGGAAGTCTCAGTTATCCTTCAACTAGCAAATGAATAAACAAACTGGTACAGCCATGCAGTTTAATACTGCTCAGCAATAAAAATAGAATGCACTGCCAGTACATGGATAATTCTCAAATGCATTATGCCAGTTGACAGAGGTCAGACTCAAAAGATTACGTACAGTGTGATTCTACTTATATGACATTCTGAAAAAAGCAGAACTGTAAGGACAGAAAACAGATTAGTGGTTGCCAAAGAGTGGGAGAAGCAGCCAGGGGGAACTTTGAGGAGGTGAAAATGTGCCAGGCCTTGGTCAGTGATGGTACGTAACTGTGCATTTGTCAAGACTCAGTGCTATATGCTGAAAAGGGCAGGTTTTACTATAAGTAAGTTGTACCTCAATAAACATGATTTTTAAATGATTAAAACTTTAGTTTTTGTTTGTTTTGGTTAAGTTTTAAGGTTTACCATAAATCTATTGATTTTAGATTCCAAGTTGCATATAAGCTTCTGTTTTAAAAGAATTTTATTTTTCATTCTTTTATTGTCAACAATGTTTAGTTGTGCTAGAAATCTTATTTTGGAATTGTTTAATAGAGAAAGACAATAAATAATGTTCAAGAACAGACATTGATTCATAACATCAAAGTATGTTATGAGAAGATGGTATTTCAGAATGGAGGAAGAATTTCTTACGTGCTGGTAGGATTGTTTGTAGAGAATCATTTCTGCATAATTTTCATAGCTGGATTTCTTTAATAAAGCCATTCAGAGGTTAAGTTCTAGATTGCTTCATGTTGCTTATCAATGTTTTAAAGCTAAAATAAAAGTAGCTGTTAGGTTGGCTCAACCAGAAATTCAGTATATCCTTTAAAAAGAGAAATTTAGTAAGTAATATGTCTAAAGGATGACATATGGATGGATGCAGTGGCTCACGGCTATAATCCCAACACTTTGTGAGGCTGAAGTGGGAGGATCACTTGAGCCCAGGAGTTTGAGACCAGCCTGGAAAACAGTGAGACCCGCATCTCTACAAAAAAAAAAAAAAAACTTACCCAGGCACGATGGCACATATCTTATGGTGCCAGTTACTTGGGAGGCTGAGGTGGGGGAATCACTTGAGCCTGGGAGACCAAGGCTGCATTGAAGTCTCATCACGCCACTGCACTCCAGCCTGGGCAACAGAGCAAGACTTTGTCTCAACAAAAAAGAACCCCCCGGCCCCCAAAAAAGGCATGTAATCAGTAAAAAAGACATTATTTGCTTATATTGTAGAGTGGTTCTAAAATACAGATTTTACATTGAGAAATTTTAATACTCTCTTTTTACTTTCCAAAGGTGAGGAAGAAAATGCTTCCCGTTCTTCTGGATGGGCATCCTATCTTCATAGTTGGTCTGGACTTCGATAGATTGATGGAAGGAGTATTTTTATTAACCAAATAGAATCTATTTACAAAAATGGTTCATGTATATTACCATCATCCTTTTGTCCAAAAGTGTGTATATGTGTTTGCATCTACATATATTTGTACATCTATATGACAGATGTATTTTAAAAGTTTCAACTTGAAGTAAAAGTACAACAGCTTGAAGTGTTGATACCAGGCGACAGCCCTCTAACTCATGTGATCTCCCGTGCATGCTGCCAGAATCAAACCGCCAGGAATGAATTCACTCCCCACTTCTCTGGAACCTCAGGACCCATTGCTCGGCAGTACTGTGAATTTTGAAGTTAAACTAAATTTTGGTACCATACCAACTGGAATTTAGGCTTTAAAAATAATGTTTCAAGGCCATGTGTGATTCAGGCCTGTAATCCCAGCACTTTGGGAGGCTGAGGCTGGAGAATCACTTGAGGCTAGTGAGCTGTGATCGTACCACTGCACTCCAGCTCGGGGAACAGAGCGAGCGAGACCTTGTCTCTAAAAATAATAATAGTAATAAAATAAAAATAATGTTTTATGACTATTTATTGCAAGGTCAGATTTGTAGATTGTTACTAGTTATAAATTGTTGAGAAATTTTTGTGATTAGAATATGAAGGAAAAAGCTTTATTGGTAAAAGTGACATGTTTATTAAGGGGCTATGAAGTAAATATGCTGCAGTTAATTATGCGAAGTTGAAATATAATTTAGTTACTTTAAAATAAACTGTTCTTTTTTTCTTTAAAGTATATTCTCTCAAAACTCACGATGTTGTCAGAGCCCTAGAGCTGGCTAGTGTAACACTGACTCTGAATAGGCGGGCCCACCCCCGAGTTGAGGTGGTTTCATGCTGTCTCTCCAGGCTCTTGGTATGGTGTCGCTACATGCAAGCCATGAATCCGTTTTGAGAATCCTCTCCATTTTCCCAAATAAAAACCTATCACAACAGTGACTATATCACTCAGCGTTGTATCTAAGTATAAAACTGGTGCTTTCAGTGTTGTGGCAGATAGTGTTCCGTAAGCTTTCCATCAGCTTTCCATCAGAAGGGATTTTAGAAAGACACCTTGGAGGTCCGTGCTACATCTTCACAGTTCCTCTGAATAAACTTAGGTGGTAGCATTACTTGCCTTTGACGCCTCTGCATATGTTTTAATGACTAGATCAAAATTGTGGTGTTCTTCAATCAAAAATTTGATAATTCTATTTTTAATATTTATGTGTTAATCACCACACAGTATGCTCTCTGAAGTTCTCTTAAGCCTTCAGTTTATACTCTTAATTCTCATTCTGAGCTGGAGAACTGACTTTGCACTTTGGTTATGCAGAACATTGGTTTCCAATTTAGTTTAACTGAAATTTGCTGCTGATATGTTGAGTTTGTTCTCTAAATAATATCTCATATATCTGTCTTTCCTCCTGTCTTAGAAGAACAGACCTAACTAGTGAATGTATTAATGAAAATGCATCTATTTCAGAGCTGACATGAAGAGTTTAGTTTTTTTACTTTATAAACTGTGAATTTGAGTATGCCACCTGCCTACAATGTAACTAATCATATTTAAATATATTTTACTTTCTCTTTGACTTTAGACCTTTTGAAGTCTGTATAAACTTGTTTTAAAATATAGTCTCTACTTATGAATGTCATAACAAAAATACCTTTTTGCATGATAAAAAATTATTACTTTGATTACAAAAGGCCTATTCTTTCATGGTTTCCGCAATGAGAGGAAGTGTAATGATTATTTTAATATTTCTATTAAATATGTTTAACTTCTATTAAATATACATAAAAATATGTATATTTTTATGGCTGCTCTTTTATGTTAGACACTGTCTCTTTGGGGTTGTTCATTGGTTTATGAAATGGAACTGCAAACTCCTTTACTACTGGCCTTACATGGTTGGGACCTATTAGGTGGTTGAGAGAATGTCAGCCAACTCTTTGATACCCGCCAGGTAGACCGTGGTACCTGCCATGTCTGACACCCTGCATCCAGCTAAAACTAGAAACAGCACTGGGCCTCCCTGTGGACAAGACATTGATTTGACCAGAGGCAGATGTCTAGCTAAGGCTGCCAACGTAAGGTTGGCCTTAGATGAAAGGCTTTGTTTAGTTAGGGGCAGAGGTCATTAATTTCTTTTTTTTTGAGACAGAGTCTCGCTCTGTCGCCCAGGCTAGAGTGCAGTGGCGCGATCTCAGCTCACTGCAACCTCCACCTCCCGGGTTCACACCATTCTCCTGCCTCAGCCTTCTGAGTAGCTGGGACTACAGGTGCCCACCACCACGCCCGGCTAATTTTTTGTATTTTTAGTAGAGATGGGGTTTCACCGTGTTAGCCAGGATGGTCTCGATCTCCTGGAGATAACTAATTTCTTTGGGTGTTTGGACTGGGAGATGGGGAGAGACAGAGCAGACAGAGAACACAGATGCCACAAGGAGGAGGAACAGAGCTAACCCCGGATAGGACTGGATACAGCAGCCAGACCAAGAGAGGCATCTGATGAGAAGCAGCTCTTCAGCCCTGGGCCTAGTGCACACATTTCTCCTTGGTTTCTTAAGAGCCAAATTTGACTGGGCACGGTGGCTCAAGCCTGTAATCCCAGCACCTTGGGAGGCTGAAGTGGGTGGATCATGAGGTTAAGAGATCAAGACCATCCTGGCCAACATGGTGAAACCCCGTGTCTACTAAAAATACAAAAAAAAAAATCAACTGGGCTTGGTGGTGTGCGCCTGTAGTCCTAGCTACTTGGGAGGCTGAGGCAAGAGAATCACTTGAACCCAGAAGACAGAGTTCAGTGAGTCAAGATCACACCACTGCACTCTAGCCTGGCAACAGAGTGAGACTCCGTCTAAAAAAATATATAAAGCCAAATTCATACAGTCCCTGAGGAGTGGGAACGGATGCACATCTCTTGTGTACAATAAGTTGTGCTTGTGCTCTGAACAGTGTAAGATTGAGAATTGTATTTCTTAAAGTTTGGCAGAATTGTAACTGAATTACTACCAAGGCACTGAGAAGGCATACTGTACTTTGTATTCTTTTTAAAGTCCATGTTAGGTGGTGGTGTAGCTGGAAGTGTACAGTATTGAGGATGTAAAGTTTCCCCTAAAAATCGTTGGTATTTGGTGAATGGCATAACACATCAAAAAATTGGTTGTATCATATGATTAAATTGCAATGTAATGATTTCAGCTTGGTGGAAGACTTCTACTTTGTCTTGGTATCTGAAAATCCCCTTTGCTTCAAACTTAATACACACCAAGCAAAACAACTTGATAACAATTTTGCAAGTGTCTTTGAGCTAATGCTTTTTCATGGGTATTAAAAAGCAGTGAGTTATTTATGTATAATTTCTATGTAGAAAGAAAATGTTCCATTCAAGATACGATTACACGAAAAGGCATCTAGTTGTGATCTTCAAATTATTATATATAGAGAGAAAATTCCTATAACTAGGCTGGGCGCGATGGCTCACACGTGTAATCCCAGCAGTTTGGGAGGCCAAGGTGGGCAGATTACCTGAGGTCAGGAGTCCAGGACCAGCCTGGCCTATATGATGAAACCTTGTCTCTACTAGAAATACAAAAATTACCCAGGCGTGTTGGCCCATGCCTGTAGTCAGAGCTACTCAGCAGGCTGAGGTAGGAGAATTGCTTGAACTCGGGAGGGGAGGCTGCAGTGAGCCAAGATCACACCACTGCACTCCATTCTGGGCGACAAAGCGAGACCCCATCTCAAAAAAGGAAAGAAAATTCCTATGAAGAAACACTATGCCTCTGAGTTTCAATAATAGAGATGATTAACCCAGTTTCCCTGCAAGGATGTGCTCACTGTGAACAGATGTAGTGGTTACCACCCCAGATGTCTGCCTAGCATTTGAGACGACAACAGTCCCTGTCACCCCTGCCTCTCTCTGGGAACTTTTGCCCCACCACCATACAGAGGGGCAGTAGGCCCAGCCATAATCAACTGAAACGAGAGTTCTGACCTGTGCCTAGGCAGTTAGGTTTTCTCAGGAATATGGATCTGGGACTAAAGAATCAAGTCAGCATCTTCCTGTGACTGGAATTGTAGCATGTAAGTACAGAAGCTTTGGAGTGCCCAGAAAGAGCAGAGAAAACCAGCCAAGAGAGTGCCAGCTTTAATTTGATGTAAGAGGTCAACAAAATTGTGAAGTGAGTATTCTGGGGACCTGAGAGGCAAGGAACTGGATTCTGTACAATGTCTCTGCATCATCATAGTAAACTTCCTACACATACTTTGAAAGTGAATATCAGGGCCGGGCGC